CCCACTGTGGATCAACACCTCTGTGTTGGGGGGGTTGATGACCCTCTTCAATGTCAATGACTCCCTGACAGGCCACTGTCCAATGAAAAGGCTTTTCACACCCAGAATTAACAGACGTCTGCAGGTCTGACCCCGGTCCTTCAGACCTCTCCTCTCCCTAAACTTCAGTTCATGTGGAAAAGAGTTGGAGGGTCTGTAGTCTTTGACCCCAGGCACAGACATTAGCTGAAATTGTTATGGAAATCACCGACCTTTGAACTCAACAAAATAAACTTCTCACTTGTTGCAACTCTCATTTCCACAGCCATCAGGGGGGGTGTAGTCTGAGGGAGGGGGGGTGGAGACGGCTCATCCTTCACACCGAGGCTGGCTCCAACTGAAGGATCCAGAGGAGAACTACACCCCATCATCCAGCTGTGACACAAAACATTCACAACACCGGGAATAACGTCATCCAGAAACTGACTAAACAAAACACCTAACGTCGTCCAGAAACTGACTAAACAAAACACGTAACGTCGTCCAGAAACTGACTAAACAATAAAACGCTGATAGGTTTTGGTTTCAAACAAAACAAAAAAATATAAAGTTTATCTCGACAGGACACAGACATAAATCTGTCCTGGAAAATTATTTTTTTTACAAACTGAAGCATCAGACCTGAAGACAGGGGGCGCTCCCTCCTTCTGAGGTGAACAGGTCACTGGTACGTCCAACTCCTAACGAAGAAGACGACAGAGCTGTGATGACATCACGACCCTCTGAGGTGGACCGCATCAGTGGTACACACACGCAGCAGAATGGGTCTCACCTGTTCATGGACGTCCACAGGTCGAACAACGTTCTCAAGGTCAGAGGTCAGCAGTTGTAGATCGAAGGGAACGTCGCCCCCTTCAGGGGACTGGAGGGTCAGAATGGGCTCCATCACAGGGTAGGGCAGCACGAACACGAGATACTGCTGCAGAGGACAATCTGTGGAATGAAGTACACACACGTGTACACACACACAGACAGACACACACTCATGGCTGAAACTCTTGATTTGACCACATCTGGAAAAACACGTGTTCCAGTAAAAACCATTAAAATACCCTTCATACTTTTTTCAATAAACATCTGATGACTTTTATGTAGACTAGAAAAAAATACTGCCCTCTTGTGGTGTTGTGAGGTTTGCTCCACTGCAGAGCCGTCTGTCCAGAGAGGAACGACTCACCTGGGAGTTCTTCACCCAGTCTCCCTTCAGTTCCTTCACCCTCAGGGTAATTCAGCTGTCGCCCAGGCTCAATATAAGGGTCATGGAGTCCAGAGAGGGCGCTGTGCTGCGGCCCAGGAATGCTGGGAAATGCTGGCACATCAGAAGAAACCTCTGTGTCCACGCTGCTGTGACCAGAGTCGGCTGGAAACTGGGTTTTTGATTTGAAACCTTCTGGTTCCGGCTCGTCTGCAGATGCCTGGGGCTCGTACACGGTTTTTGATTTGAAACCTTCTGGTTCCAGGTCGTCTGTAGATGCCTGAGGTTCATACAGGGGGTAATAGTAGTAGTAGTGGGGGTAGTTGGGTAGTTGGAGGTCAGTCTCCGTTTCATACGTCGGTTCTGATTCTGCAGAAATATTAAAGTGTTGAAGTTTGCCGTCGTGTGGATGCTGCGTCGACCTGGGAGCGGTCTGAAGAAGAAGACGGTCTGCAGCTTCAGGAGACCAGACGTTGGTGTTGGTCTGGTCCAACTGCACTGGTCCATGACCAACCTGATGGTGGCGCTGATCAATGGGGTGATAGAAGAGATGATGAGGAGAAGAGTCCACAGAGTGAGGGTCTGAGGGAGGAGGTTTCTGTTGGTCCCCTGACCCTGGGTTTGGTCCACCAACGTCAGGAAGAAGTGACCTCTTCGTCTGACCATCAGAGTCTGAACCATCATCTGAAGGAGAACGTCGGTGAAGATGAGACGACGCTGTAGCCACGTCCTGATCTTCACTCTTCAGAATATACGGAATGTAGTAGAAGAAGTGATGGAGGTGGGGCCAAGAAGGACCACGGGCCAGAGCTTCTTCACGTCCGACTTCAGGGACAGTCCCAGGCTCTGTGAGCTGCTCGGAGTCTATCGCCATCTGCTGGACATTCAGAGGTAGAACAGGAATATTGTAGGGATGATGTGGAATGTTTGAGAAGAGTTCTTCCTGAACCTCAGGACGTGGGTCAGGAGGCTGAGGTCCAGACAGAGGGATTTTGGAGTGATGGTAGTACTGGTAAAATGGACTGAAGGTGTGACCAGGAGGCTGAGGAGGCGGGGCTTGGACTTGGTCATGGTCACGGTCAGGAGGAGGAACCAGAGCTGAATCTTCCAGGTCATCTGGGGGACGACGGACTTTGTGGACTCTGACGTCCCTGATGGGAATCTGACTGGAGTAAAAGTCAGTAAAACCTGGCTGTGGATCCACAACAGGATGGGGCTCCGGGGTCAGAGGTGAAGGTGTCGGAGGATCAACGCTGGGTCTCGGGGGTGTGTGATGATACGTGGGGTGGGGGTAGTAAAGTGGGGCCAGGTAAACAGGTGTGGCCCACTGAGGCGACTCCATGTTTCCTGGCACCAGAGTCTTTGACTTCCTGTGGAGGTGCTGAGGAGTGTCAACATGAGGCTGGGGGGTTAAAGCGGGTCCTTGAGGAGGAGACACAGGGCAGGACAACGTGAGTGTGTGTTCTTTCAACTGAAGATGAAGTGTGTGTTTACCATCCTGTTGGAAAAAAGAACAACACATTTTAAAGTTTAAAAAAATATATGAATTTAATATAATTGTTATTTTTTTAATACTTTATTAATGTTGTCTTTACAAATAAAAATGTCCTATTTTATTGTTTTATTTTTTCTAAATTCTGCTTTAGTAATGCAGTACTGACAGTCACTAAACTGGTGGAAACTGGAAATGCCAAAAAAAAATTCCCAACAGCACCCTCTACCGGCAGCCACAATAACTTAATCCTTTATGAAATGCACTTCACCTTCACGCTCATGCCACAGGTCAGATATGGAGCAGAGATGACGGTTTCTGAGTGCCGTCTGTCCACACTGTAGCCACACTGCTCAGCCAAAACCACTAGGGGGAGCCACTGTCCTCTCACTGCGGTGACAGTGTGGATAGAAAAGAGAATAAACCAAAGAAAGATGTAATTTTTTTTGTGTTTGTTTTTTTTACCGTTTATCTTCAGCTCCTCGGCAGGAGTCAGTCCTCGGAGTTGAACCATCAAACTCTGGGCCGAGCAGCAGACGGAGAACAGGTCTGTGACCGCGGGCTGCAGCTGAGGGACGGGACAGGACATCTTCACCGTCAGCCCCCTCCACAGCAGAGGCAGGACGTAGCTGTCGGCCTGTTCACACACACACACACGGACATTTTAATCTGACCAATCACAGGGCACATCTGTTGGATTAATTACAATTAAGACAAATAAATAAAAATAAAAATTTTAAAATTCTGATTATTTTTAGCTTTTTAATTTTAGATTCGATAATAAAAATGATACACTTTTTTAATTGCTGTAAATTACAGAAAATAAGGAAATTTTATTAATTATTAAAAAAAATTACTTGAGTCTAAATCAGTGGTTCCCAACCCTTTTTCCGCCCGCAAAGATTATATTTAGATTAATTAAATTTAAAATAAATTAATAAAATAGAAGAATAGTTTGTTGATGAATATTAGTTTTTTTATAATTACTGAAAATTCCAAGTCGATGTAATTAATTATTATAATATAAATTCATCCATTTCCTCCATGTTCTGCCCACCTCCTGAGTCACATGACAGGCATCATATTGAGCCACCAGGCTCAGGAGTCTGGACGTTGTCTGGACATCGTAGCCACAGTCAGGGGTCAGCTGGGTCAGCAGCACGGACGACTCGTTCACTGAGACAAAAAAAAAACAACAGACAAACTCAGATTTGTGCCGACTGTGACGACATTAAAGACGCTCTGAAGACTGGACCTCACCTCCACCCAGCAGCAGATGTCCAGCTCGCCTCCTGCTGGCCTGGAGGATCATGGAGTCACCTCCACACTCCACCACAGGCTGCAGCTTCTGCCAGCTCTGCTCGGAGGAGGAGCGGAGCCCCCCACCTGTGGTCTTCATCTGTCCCTCAGCCTGGACTGCAGCGAGGAGACAAACAGGTTCACGTTAAGACTCCGTCAACGCGTCCTCGACCACGGAGACACGGCTGACGGTGGA